GAGTGTGATACGGCTCTGGATCGTCCCCAACCCCCCCGTCCCCTCAGGGGACCCAGAGAAAGAAGAAATTGCTCTTTTGTCGAGAATTTGGGTAAAACTGACCGCAAGGTCAAATCTTTGGAGGCTCTGGAGGCTGCTGCGAACGCTGCGCGGGGGCGGCGGCCGGGGGCCGCCCTCGGCGACGAGCAGGCTGGGGCGCTGCCACCGGCGGCCGGATGGAGGCTGCAGCTGCACGCCGGGGCAGGATGTGTCTGATCGCCTCAGTCTGCTTCTGGGCAGCGGAGAACTGCTGGGCGAAGCTCTCCACTGCGTCGCCGAACAGGCCGGTCTGGGACACGGGGCTGTTCAGGAAACGTGTCTTGTCTGCCTCGCACATGTCAGCCAGAGATGGCGCTCCTGGACCACCATAGTGGACATCGCATGACCCAGAGACCATGCCGTAACCTTCGTCGCTCATAGCGCGAGGTCCGTCGCGGTGCGGAGTTCCGTGAGAACATCCGGGTCGTGACCACTCTCGTGCAAGTTCCTCAGTGCCTTGGCCTGGATTACTTGCAGTAACGCCGAAGCGTGTAAGGCGGACGCAGCTTCTCCACAGGCCGTATAAGCACTGCCGATCAGAGCCGATGAGTGCCTACAGGCTCGGGAGGGGCGGCTTCATCAACAGAAAAGTCCAGCTCACCCTACGATGCTTCGACCGACATCCGATCGTCGGGGGGAGCCCCGAAAGAAACAGGTGGTATCCCCCGGGAGGATCCAGCCTGCTCTCTCGAGAACTCCGCTGGCTTCGAAGTGCCGGCTGGTTCGGGCATCCCCTTCCTTGTTGAGAGGAATTCCTCACTGTGACCATAAGGCCAGTCCACCCACCGCTAGAAAAAGGACGCCCCCGGCTGCCGCCAGAGGGAACCCCAGATCTAGGCAGTGGCACGGGCACTCCGCCCCCTTGCAGGTAACGGAGTCTGGTCCGCAACTCCGAGATGGTCATACCCCCGCAATGGGAGCATGAGTCATCCACGAAAGCCGCTTCAGCGTGCGTCATGCCCAGGCACGAGAGGCAGCAATCATAACCATCAACCGGTGTCAGGTAACGACCGCACCCAGAAACACACGGGTGGTAAGACATCTTTAAAAAGAGTTCCACCCGTGAAGCTCTTTTAGTATGGAAATTGCTCTTTTAGTGTGCTGAAGCGCACAGGGGAGATGGCCGTCTGCAACACACACAGGGGTAGTGCAGCCTGCTGTGTGCAACCCACTCGACACGGGAAAACCACCGCCGCTGAAGCGCCATACCACCAGCACGAGAGCCCATGAAGAGCATGCTTGACTGTAGTCTACTTCTCCGCAGAAGGTCAGGAGCAGAACGAAAGAACCACTCGGCTCCGAAGCGAAAAGCTGAATATGCGCTGCATCTGCTGCCTACTTATACTCATGCTGTGATCAGCAGCAGCTGGATGCAATAATCGCATGCCAATGTGCATTGGCTCGTTTAGTTTACACTCGAAGTGGATTGGTCTCTCTTAGCGGGGTCCGAGTTTCGTCGGTCATCCGACGTGACGTCGAGAGTGACCGACTGAAAGGGAACAATAATGTACAGTATGTGGAAAATAATGTTTTTTGAACCTTAAACCGCATAAACACATTTCATTACACCAAATACACAAAATAATGTTCTTTTTAGCAGCATCATATGACCCCTTTAATATATAGTTCTCCCAGAAATGAAATTCTGTCATATTATCATATTGTGTTCCAAACCTGTATGACTTTCTTTCTTTTGTGGAACTTTTTTTTGTCCATACAATGGAAACTAGTAGTAACCAAAACAGTTTGGTTCTTCAAAAAATCTTATTTTTTTGTTCAATGGAAGAAAGAAGGTTTGGTTGGACTCATTCATGAAGAGAACTGTGTATTTCTCCATATGTGACGGCCAGTGTGTGTTCTGCTGGTGTTTGTTCAGAGCTCAGGATCAGACGGCTATACAGCTGAATGAGATGGAGGAAGAGATGGATCACCGCATCCACACTGCAGAGAGAAACACGCGTCTACAGGTCAAGAGAAAACATACGATTTGTCTAAGATTTTTTTAAATGATTATTTATTATTAAGCATTATTTATTTTATTTATTTATTTGCAAATTAGCTGATGAGCTAAAGAAAAAAGCTTAATTCAAGATATATACTTTTGTTTTGCTTTTTTTTTTCTTGTTTTAAGAATGTTTAGATTTTTTTTTCTTGAAAACCACACTAAAAGGACCATTTCTATGTCACAGTATCTCCGCCCACAGTGAAATCTCATTTCAGTTTCAGTTAAGACAGAAAATGTACCCAAATTTCCCACCTATGACCCATCATTAAGAGAAACTATTTGTACTGTAAATACTTTGCCTCATAAACGTTTGTAACACCGCTTGATATTCTGTCATATACTGAGCATCTCGAGCTCATAAAATACATATAAATGCAATATGCAAAATGTTTATTTTATAGACCAGGTGCGGTATAGATCTTTGGGCTCTTTGCCATAATGATAAGTCACATTGTTTATCACGTTTAATACTACTGTTTAATATTACTACTTTTTTGTGATCAAACACACAACAAGACATTTATAACAAAATGACTTAATATTATTCTGACAATTAATTGAGTAATCAAGTAAGATACAGTATGCTTAATTTTTATTATTCTTGCAAGAACATAAAACTTCTTAAAAAATAAATGGCACCTTTCTAAGTATAATTTGTATTGCTTGATTATCTTTAAGGGGCTGTGCTGATATGAAATACCAAATATTTTAATGTTTTTTTGCAGGCATCCCTCAATTCATATATATACGGTTTTCTTTTTCATTGTCACAATAATTAATGATGAAAATGTTAATAGATTATATATTACTTCAGTGCTGGTATTTATATTGTTTCTCTGTTTATTGTGAGTTAGGAGTTGATATAGGCAGCTCTAAATGAATTAGCACAGGTGTGTTTTGCTGTGATCTGGGATCCAGCCAGATCATGTGAGTGTCTTGGATCACATTCAAGGCTTAATTTATCCATGACATCACATTTTAGTGTGTCACAATCTTAGACAGTCGTGCATTTGTTCTTGTTCCTTATCTGAGACCCATGTTCCACAACTTATCATGTTATGTAATGTGAAACGAACTGACTGTTTGTTTAAAAGCACCTGTTCAAGTTCCTGTGAAAAGTAAAAAGCATTTCTATCCGTTAGTGCACTGGCATTTCTAAACCTTTTGTCACATTAATTGTCTTGATCTAATGTTTTAGAAAGCATCTATGTTTTAAACTTCTGTACAGAGCTTTTTAGGTATCTTATTTTAATATTTTATATAACAAAAACCTACATTATTTTGACTTGCTTGCAACCATGCAGTCATAATTTCAGCTGGAATTTTTACATCATTATCATAATTTTTTTTTCAGTTTTCACTCATGATGTTACCATTTTAGTCCTTTTTTATTTTATACATGTTATAAAAATGCAAAGATTTATAATTTTTAACACCAGCTTATGGATTCTATTCTTCTATAGGAGTCTAAAAAAGCAGAGGCGACTCTGAGCAGCATGAAACACCAGTACGAGTCTCAGATATGTGAACTACAACAGAAGATACAGACTCTGCAGATGGTGACTGACTCCTACTGATTCATAATAACAATGGGCTTATATAGATTTAATCAGTATTATTCAGCAGCAAATTACCCTCCTCCATCCCCAGCTCCTCCTTTCACCACAGTCAGGACTTGGCTTTCTGATATTCCTTGTTGAATCAGACTCTGTTTATCTTGAATAATGTGTTACACTTAGATATCATTAAGTGCGTTAATGATATCTGCTTTGTTCTGTGCTGTTTACCCTATGGGGGGGGGGGGGGGGGGCCCAAAA